GAGAGAGAGAGAGAGAGAGAGAGAGAGAGGAAGAGGGAAAGAAAGTCAGAGAGATAGAACCAGAGAGACACAGACATATAACAAGAGAAGAGAGAAAGAGGGAAAGAGAAAGAGAGAGAGAGAGATCAAGACAGAGAGGGAAAGAGAGAGAAGAGAGTTAGAGAGGCAGAGACAGGCAAAGAAAGAGGGAAAGAGAGAGAGAGAGAATAAGAGAGAGGAGGAAAGAGAAGGGAAGAAGAGAGAGAAGAGAAAGAAGGAAAGAGAAAGAAAAAGATAGAGAAAAGATAGAGACAGTGAAGAGGGAGACAGACAGAGAGGCAGAAAGAGGCAGAGAAGGGGGAGATAGACAGAGGAAAGAAGAGATAAAAAGAAAGATGGGGAGGGGGGAAGGGAAAGAGAGGGAGGGAGAGAGAGAGAAAAAGTGACAGAGAGGAAATGACAAAGGAAAAGAGAAAGGGGAAAAAAGAGAGAGGGAGGGGGGAGGAGAGATGAAGGGAGGGAGACAGAGGTAAAGAGAGAAACAGAGCACGGGAAAGAGACAGATCAGGGGGAAGAGTGGATAAAGACAAAGAGAAAGAGAGAGGGTGAGAAATGAAGGGGAAAGAGAGAAAGGGGGAGGGACAGAGAGAGAAAGGGAAGAAGAGACAGAAAGAGGGAGAGAAAAATAGAGAGACACAGAGATATAAACAGAGATAGACAGAAAGAGAGACAGAGACCAAGAAGAAGAAAGAGAGAGAGGGGGGAGGGAGACAGAGACAGACAGAGAGGGAGGAGAAACAGAGAAGGGGGAGAGAGAGAAACAGAGAGACGATCAGGCTAATGTATTTCTTCTACAAAATGCACTTTCACTATATATTTAGCCACACATGCTCCAGACTCTGAAATGCAACTTGACTTCCATTAAATAACCCAAATTGAAATTTCAAAGGTATTTCCTAAGGAAACAAGACCAAAATAGCCTGCCACCAAAAAAAAGCGTCATCTATGCAAATATATCTCCTTTTAGTGTCTATTTGGTTTATTTGGAGACCCTGATTCATTTTTCATCCCATTTATTGAATATTGTCACTTGTTTCTACATTCACTGGAGGAAGCACAAGGTCACCACCTAATTTTATTTAGATTATTAAATAGGTCCTTAGTCCTCAATGTAATTTCCAGATGGATACACTTTGGGGCACTAGAAAGATTTTTAAAAACCCTAAATATAATATTTCTTATCCTAATTGACTTCTGTTCCTAAAAGGCATGCTAAAATGTTCTGTTTTCTTGGTCTCTTATTATTAAATGTAATTATCTAAAGTACAATATCAAAATATCAAAAGGTTTCATTTCATTTATGAAAAAGTCTGTGTTATCTTCAGTACTACGAATCTTATTGTTACCATATCCATTTGTGGATGTAAGAACTTTCTAGAGTTAAAGGGCTATACCAGCACTAATCATCATCATCAATGATATATTCTATAGTAAATATTTCCTTAAAAACATCATTCCCATTCACATTTTCCCACTATTAAATATTCAGTCAAGACATTGTCCCAAATTTTGAAAATTCATGATGTGAAGACAGTAGCCTATTTACCAAATGACATGGATTGCCAGTCGATAGGAAAATGACTCTTTTTAACAGATAATTTTGTAAGATCATGGATCTAAAACTGTAAAGAATGTCAGAGCCTCCTTACTCCAAACCTGTCATTGGACAGATGAGGAATTTGGGCCCAGGTCACACAGGTAATAAATGTCAGAACCCAAGTCATCTGACTCTATGCCACTAATATAAATATAAAGGAGATTTCTTTTTCCCCTTGGCCCTATGAGACAGGAGGCATGGAGGCACCAGGAAATGTCCATGGCCTCAGCTGAGATTGACTTGAAGGTTTACTTCTGACTTCCCTGGCTTCCTTTGAGTCCCAACTAAAATCCCACCTTCTACAGGAAGCCTTCCCCCAACCATCTTAATTCCTGTGCTTTCCCTCTGTTAATTATTTCTTGTTTATCCTGTAGATAGCTTACTTTGTATATACCTGTTTGTATGTTTTCTCCCCCTTTAGATTATAAGCTCCTTGAGGGCAGGAACTGTCTTTTGTCTCTTTTTGTATCTCTAGTGCTTAGCACATTACCTGACACATAGCAGGCACTTAATAAATGTTTATTGATTGATTGATTGAATAGGGGCCTGGTGTTGAGAAAATTAGGATGGGATGGGATGGATGGGTCATGAAAAATACGTACTCAGTCTATGAGGAGTCATAAGTGAGGGTGAGAAAGCAAGCAGGGGCCAATTGTAAGCTTAGAAAGAAACAGGGGGCTAGTAGCAAGAGAGGCATCCACATACTAGGAGGAAGCTGTCAAAGATGAGGAGGCGGGAGGATCTAAGAGAGTATGTGGCATCAACAGCATATCCCTATTTCTACTCTCAAGTTATGGCTTAATTGGCGTATATTTTTTCCAATTTTTCAAATATTTTTATTTAAAATTTTGAGTTCCAAATTCTGTCCCTCCCCCCTCCCTGAGATGGTAAGCAATCAGATATAGTCTCTACATGTGCAATCATGTAAAACATTTCCATATTAGTCATTTTGTACAAGAAGACTCAAATAAAAGAAAAAATGAAAGAAAATGAAAATAACATACTTCAGTCTATATTCAATCGATATCAGTTCTTTCTCTATGCTTCATCATGAGTCCTTTGGATTGTCTTGGATCATTGTATTGCTAAGAATAGCTAAGTCATTCACAGTTCTTCATTGAACAATATTACTGTTACTGTGTACAACATTCTTCTGGTTCTGTTCACTATGCATCAGTTCATGTAAGTCTTTCCAGTTTTTTCTGACATCATCCTGTTTGTCATATGTCACAAGCTCTCTTCTCACCACCCTTCCCTCTCACTCCTCCCAACACCACCACCACCACCACTACATTTCTTGCTTTCCTGAATCAATAGTTCCTCCCAGAGGGCCTCTGATAACAAACTACCTTAGAAAT